CCTCCCATAAAATGTTTATCATTCTCACACCCACAACCAACTCATGACTCTTCCTGCAGCTGATAATCTCTATTTCACTGTGGAGTAAAAGAAAGGTTATCAGGCTGGAAGTTTGCTCATCAGGGAAAAAGATATTTCCAGTCAATTCTGTCCACAATGAACCCTGCCCACCCAGGTTCTGGGTCTTGGCATTTCATACCACTTCCCAAAAAACAGGTGCTAAGTTTGGTTCTATTTTCTTCTCTCTTTTCAGCACTTTCCTTGTCCTGTCGTCACAATTCTGCTAGAAGCCCTTCCCCACACATAATATGTTAAGCCTGTTAGACTCTAAATGTCATCTCCCTTATCAAGATTCTGCCAAGAGTAGTCAATATTTGCTGTCACTATTTCCTCACTATCCAAGCTCTCTTTAATGGACTACAGTCTAGCATCTTGCTCCCGTTAGTCTACTAAAACTAAGCCTAAGTGACAATTCTTAGTAACTTTTTACAGTAATTATCTTAACTGACTTCTATGACATTTAATTCTACTCCTTATTCCCCTTTCTTCCTACTGCTTGTCTACCTCCTTACCCAGACTACTGCTCTTTCTCTAGCATGCTTACCTCACCTGCTAACATTTCTCAGCATTACACACACTATTAAGATGAGTTCACCTACAGAAGCAATTTTTAAACTTTTAGGTCCTAGGACTCCCTTACAAACTCTTAAAAACTGTCAAGGACCCCAAAGAGTTTTATTTGCATAGGCTATAACTATTGATGTTTACTATTCTAGATGTTAAAACTAAAGAAGTTTTGAAACATCAGAATATACAAGCACATGATTCATAAATCAGAATGATGATGTCATCATGTGTCATACACTCTGGAAATTTTCACTGTGAACTCGAGAGAAAATGAAAAGCCAGATATGTCTTAGCATTATTGTAAAACTAAAAAGAGGGGGGGAATAATGCCTTACTTAGCACTACTATAAAAATTATTTTGACCCAGGGAACCCCCTGAAAGACTCTGAGAGACCCACCCCCAGGAATCCTATAACCACTCAAAGTGGTCACCTATGCCAAAATCTCCTCCAAGTCTTCATCTCTAGCTCCTATTGCCTATCCAAAGTACCATCTTCATTTGGTCAATTCACAAATGTTCAAACTCAGTGCTGTCAAGAATTTAATTCATTACCTTCTATGCCAAACCTATGTTTCTTTCTTCTGTGTTGTCTATCTTGGTCAAAGGCACTAACATTCACCTAAAGCTGGATACCTTTAAATAACCCTAGGCTCCTCCTTTTCCTTCTTTACCCTCATTCAGTCATCAAACCCTAAAGATTCTAATTTCATAATCTAGGGGAATCTGAGAGCTTGTTAGAAATGAAAACCCCCACCCGAGATCTACAGACAAAAGGAACTGTTGGTAATTCACTTGCACACTTAAGTTTGAGAAGCATGGGACTGGGTAGTAATATCAATAACCAAAGTCTGAGAATCTGAAGGAGAAGGCAGAACTCAAAAGTTAAACTTGAGAACATTTTAACTAGAACCCTGCCTCCTTGAAGTTTTTCCTAATATTAAACTGTGGAGGCTGGGGAGTTCTGTAAAGGAGACAATATTCCTTAACCAAATGATCTTCCCAATGTAGGTTTCATTGCCTCCAATTCTATCCTCTACACTACAAACTGGAGGAGCTTCTTCATCTCCACTTTGCCTTTTGTTTCTGTTTAAATGGCTCTCCATTATCTAGACAGTAGTCCAAAATTCCTTACTGTCAATTACAAGGACTTTCTAACCCTGACTCCTACATATCCTTCACCATTCTTGCATTAGCCTACCTATACCAGAAGTCTTCAAACCAGCTGGCAGCTTGGTATGTTTTTTAAGCTTCTCAGGTGACCTGAAAGTGCAGGTAGGGTTGCGCATCACTGCCTCATGTCTTGAACAAAACTATTTGCCATGCTTCCATGCAAAAGCAGAAGCATATCCTAGCCTTTCTGCCTGTATTCTTCTCTTAGCTTTGCCTTTGTCTTTTAGGATGAATTCATAGCCTAACAACTCAAGTATTATCTCTCCTTTAAAGGAAGACTTCACTTTTCTCCCCTCTTGTCCCTGACCAGTAGATAGAATTAGGGGTTTCTTGCTCCTTGTTCCCATAGTACCTTGTACTTACATCTATTATAGCATGGGCTACACTCTTTATGAAGCAGTTTGTTTGTCCTACCAGATAGTGATCTCATGTGAAGGTAGGGATTGTATTCACTTTTTTATATTCTCTGTGCTTGGGCACAGAGGCTAGAAGATAACACATATGCAATAAATGCTTACTGAAAACAAATTTTTGGACAGCACTGAATAGACCTAGAATGATGTAAAACGAAGTGAAAACAAGACCGACACCTTCCAACTAGGCGATTTCATTTAAAAAGGGAAAAAACTTTCTGTTCTACAATTCTACATTTAGAAATAAAAGGCAAATCCATGTAAGAAGTAATTCATATATAAACTGAAATGAAAATTTTCAGTTGAAGTAGATTCGAATGAGTTTAACAGTGAATATGAGATGCTTTTCAGTTTTAAAAGTAAAAGACTAGAAAACAGAGGGGTTTTGGATATCTGAAAGAGTACTGGGTGGAAGGAAAATGCCCAAGTGAGGAAACAAAAGTTCAAAATATGCATATTATTTGTATTAAAATGTAGGAATAAATACCAGAAAAAGCTGAAGGACTCAAGAGCCAGGTGGGGTAGAGGTGAGCAGCAGAGAACCGCTTTTTTTTTTTTTTTTTAATAAACCTTCAGTACTTTTTTTCATAAAAACAAAAACTATTATTTAAGGAAATGTAATGGATCAGGGATTGGAGTACCAAAGAATAAAATAACATCAGAAGACAATGAAATACTACATAAACTTTACTACTGGTATACCAGGAAAAAAAAGTAGTACTTCCACCCTACAATAGTTTACACCCAACAACTTCCCATGATGATCTACAAATAATCTATATTTTGAGGTGTGTAAAATTTCACCCCAAGGAAATTTGTTATAGAGTATCTAGAACAGAGATAAAACCTGAAAATCACTTTCCAGATAAGATGCTTCTTAAATTATAAAACAAAAAAACCCTGCTTCTTCAAATCTTAAGGAAAATGTGTAAGCTACAGTCATTTCCAAAATACTGTGCCACTTAACAATTTGTAAAAATTCCTGATAGCAAACACAGACCAGCAAAAGCCCCCAAATTTTTAAGATTTTCTACTGCTGCTTCAAATGTCAAAATTTCTATATAAATTAAGCTACGTATATGCAATGGTTAACCAAATTGTAATTCACTGTAAATTACAGTATGGTCTCTAAAAAAATTTTTTTAACTAAAAATATAGTCAAAAGTGATTCTTCAAATTCTCTAAAGGGACATGGTACTTCTTATAGACTGATTCCTTTCAAAAAATTAAATACTGCATCTATAACTTATATTGGGAGCATGGGTACCTATAAAGAACATAGAAATAAATAACTATTATAGATGATCTAACTTTTACTATGTTTTGGTATAAAAAAAATCTATCAAAAACATCAGATGTGGTGAAGAGAAAAGGGAAATAATCTAAAATTACTTTATTGCCCTTCATAACATAACAGTCAATGAAAGGAAAGGCATGTGAAATTATTAAATAGTCCAAAATCTGGAAATATCAAGAAATGTTCGTGTCCAGGAGATATAAAGTAAAAACATTCTTGATATAGTTTCTGAAAAGCTGTACTTTGACTAAATCTAAACCTACAATTTTTAAGGACTTAATATAAGTGTGCTAATTTGAAAAAACAAACAAACAAACAAAAAAAAACAAAAAAACTAAACTGTGATAATCTGGTACTACAGGGGCTACTAACGCTTACCTCAAGGGAACCTACTGCAGATAAAGTCCCGTCACTTGCACAGTCCTTTCAGCTGCCTGCCAGTTGTCTCTGTGGAAGGGAAAGCCTGATGAGTGAAAACCCCATGCCACACTCCTTTGGAGTGTCAGGGTGCCTGCATAGTACTGCACAAAACTGTCTTCCTAGAGATTCCCAGATGCTTTCAATAACACAGGACTTTAAAAAATGCTACCTTTGATATTCTCTTTCCACTGAACACAAAAACCAAATGGCTAAGAGTTACTAAGTGCTAATGACCTATTGATGTTAGAGAAACGATATCTATACTAACCCATGTAGAAAAAAGACCAAACTGGATCAAAGAGAATTAAGTTAACATTGAAGGGAAAACACACACACACACACACACACACACACACACACACACACGCATGCACTGAAACATAACAGAAGTCTATAATCTGAGCAGAGGAAATATAGGTTGTAGCCACAAAAAGTGATGTTGCAGCAGCAAGTGAATGCTAAAACCCAAAGAACGTCTTATCTATATATTTCAAACAGATGCCACCAAGTGTATCATGCTCAATGTTAACTATACCAAGGATCCAAATACCTACTTGTAAAATTCCATGTATGTTCTTAGTGGGATCAGTAAGTGGATGGGAAGGGAAAGGATTTTCCAGACATTTTTAAATATGAAAAATGAAAACCAATGGCATGAAATTCGACAAGAAATTTCAAAACGAGAAAAATGTATATCTGTATCTCAGGAAATGAACAAACCCTTACTCAGAACCAAACTAAGATGGAAGTATAACAAAAAATAATAGAAAACTGTAGAACACTGTTCAAAAACCACTTTCGGCTACTAGAATTATGAATGGCTAGTAACTGTCTTCCATTAAGAACATCTATAACACTAATGTACAAGTTCAGCTATGTAACCAAAGAAACTGTATTTTTTTTTCCTAATGCCCAATAGTCTTCAGTCTGAATACTGTGCTTCATAAAGCAGAACAAAATGTTCCTAGTACAAGGATTTGGGGGGCGGGGGGCGCAGGCGGGAACTATTAAAAGAAAAACGTGATTCCAGCTTTTACTTTAATAGCACCATATTTAAAATGAAGTTACTTACCTCAGATTCTTTGTCACTTAAAGATCCCAAGCTTCCGAAACTGTGATTAGAACTTTCATTATTTGTTGAGGCCTGTTAAAAATTTTTAAAAAGGTAAAAATTAGGAGTAATTTTAAATGAAACATACTGCAAGGTAAATAATCTATCTTCATAAATGAAAATAAAGTATGATTCCTTTAAGCAAGAAAGTTAAATGAAGTAAATAAATATCAGGGTTCACGGGTGGCCGTCAGTTAAGTGACAGACTCTTGGTCTCAGCTGGCACCCTGATCTCAGGGTCATGAGATTGAGCCCCATGTCAGGCTCTGTGCTCATCCCAGTGTCAATCTGAGATTCTCTCTCCCTTTCCCTCTGCCCCTCTCCTGTGTACACTCTTTCTCTCTCTCTCTAAAATAAATAAACATCTTAAAAATAAAAAATATCAACTTTTTAAAAAAGATTTTATTTATTTATTTGCTAGAGAGAGAGCAAGAGAGAGGGAGAGAGCGCGAGTGCACAAGCAGGGGGAGCAGCAAGTAGAGGGAGAACCAGGCTCCCTGCTGAGCAAGAAGCCTGATGTGGGACTCAATCCCACAACCTTGGAATCATGACCCGAGCCGAAGGCAGACTCTTAATCAACTGAGCTACCCAGGCGTCCCAAGAAATATCAACTTCTTAACACTATCAATATCCTGGAAAGTTTTACCAACTCAATAAAAATCTGTGTTTCCAGAACTGAGTTGTTTTGGCTGACTTTTTTTGAATACCAAATTCAGGAGCTAAGGAACTAGGCTATTACTAGGATAAGAAGATCCCTAAAATTACTATCCAATATACAAAAACAGATGCCTCCTTTAACTGAAAGTATTATTTGTGCTCCTTAATTCCCTTCTCAATCTTATTAAATTCCATCATATCCCATCCACCCTCGCCCCCGTCTCTCATTATACTAACTAACTGGACAAACCCTGGTTTTTTGTTTGTTTTGGCTTAATCTTTTAAGAAATCTTTTACTATCTTGACCATTTTAATTGCTTCACCCAAGAGTTTCTATATTTCCTTTGTATTATTTTTAGACAGTGACAAAGGGAAATGAGCTATCATTTTGTAGGATGACATCTGCTATGTTTCCAATGTTTCTAAGATGCTCATTATTTTGCAGACTTTTTGGAGCATCAGTACACTAGATCAATGTCTTCCAGGAATGTTTAGATCAGAGCATAACAACCTATGGCATATACATAAAAGATGATGCAGGCATGACTGACCTTCGTGTACAGGCAGGCCACCTGATATCCCTGTTTTCCAGCAACTTGTTAAGAATACGTGCTACCATTAGGTATTTACCCCCAAGATATAAATGTAGTGATCTGAAGGGGTACCTGCTCCCCAATGTTTATAGCAGCAATGTCCACAATAGCCAAACTATGGAAAGAGCCCAAATGTCCATCGACGGATGAATGGATAAGGGTGAATACTACTCAGTCATCAAAAAACAAAATCTTGCCGTTTACAACAACGTGAATAGAACTAGAGGGTATTATACTAAGTGAAATAAGTCAATCAGAGAAAGATAATTATCATATAATCTCACTCATAAGGAATTTGAGAAACAAGTTAGAGGATCACAGAGGAAGGGAGGGAAAAATAAAACAAGATGAAATCAGAGAGGTAAACAAACCGTAAGAGACTCTTAATCATAGGAAACAAGCTGAGGGTCACTGGAGCGGAGGGGAGTGAGGGAGATGGGATAACTGGGTGATGGACATTAAGGAGGGCATGTGATGTAACAAGCACTGGGTATTATATAAGACTGATGAATCACTGACCTTTACCTCTGAAACTAGTAACACATTAAATGTTAATTAACTGAAATTAAAGAAACAAGAAAATAAAAGTTCTGGAATGGGGGGGGTGGATAAGAGTAGGTACTAATTGGAAGTTGGCCTACAATTACCCTTAGGCTAACTTCTAAACTGATGACTCTGAGTCATTGCGTACATGTCTAGTACTATGCTCAACTAGACTGTTTTCAACTTAAACTAGCACTCAACTGATTAAGATTCAAGCACTATTTGGAGGACAGTATAATCTAATTAAAGCAAGATTATCAAACTTGAAACAAAACATACCATGAACAGCAATTAGGAAGTGGTAAATTGGATTCAGGGACAACAGAAGCCATACAAGTGTTTTTGAGCATCCCTAAATCCTCAGATAGAAATATAAACCCCAAACCAACAGACAACATTGGCTGGCTGACAAGGAATCTCCACGAGTTCCCCCAAAATAGCAGGTGGGGACAAATCACCAATAAACACAGGACCTGTGTCGTATGAGAGGAAGCAAAAGGAAACACAGTATCTGACAGATCTGAGAATAGAGACACTGAAAATAGCAATTTGAGTACAAAAGCTCTAACTCAAAGGGTTTCTCCTTTCAAATAGTGATTTCGTACAGGAAGTCCATGGTGAAGTTTGAAGAAGTTGGAGCTATACAGCCTCTATGAACTCTTAAAACATCCCTGACTAAAGGGTGGGGATAAACTACTGGGTGTGGGAGTGGGATCAAAATTGAGCACAAAAGGTACAATGAAGATAAAGGAAAGAGAATATTCAGACAAAAGCAAGGAAGGGAGCAAAGCCTAGAAATTTCAGAAAGCAAATGCCACAATTTTGAAGAGTACCAAGAAACAATAGCAGAGGGAGTTCTGTAAGAAGAGCCATTCTAAACGACAAAAATGTAAACAACAGAAAATGATTAGGTGAATCCCATGAAGTTATTATAAGGAAAGAAAAAAGAAAAGAAGATATGGAATAACATCCTAATAATAAAACCACACCAGAAACACATATCCACAAAATAGCTGAAAATTATAACCTACAATTTCAAAATGAGCTAAAAAAAAAAAAATTACAAAAATGACTCAAGACATAAAAGAACAACATAAATCAAAATTCAAAAAAACTCCGATTTAAGGTTAATAGAAACTCGGGAAAACATCAGAAAGGGGGGGGCGGGTTTCAGAAATGAAGATTAAGCTTGAATGAACTTGAGAGAAAACACATGTAACATATATCCAATGAACATTTATCCAAATGAAGGAATAAAAGAGAAGGCAATAACTAATGAAGCAATAAAAATTCAACATTCAAGTAAAAAGAAGTCTTAAAAGAACACTACCATAAGAAAACAATAAAAACTATAATTCAAGAAAATGCCCTTAAAAATTAGAAAAGTTTTTTGAAACTACTGACTGAAAAAGCATGATGTACACCTACTATCAACTCAGAAAGCCAACATCAAACTTTTCCAAGGCCAACACGAATATGCCAGAAGAAAAGGGAGTAATACATTTAAGATATTCAAGAAAATATAAATGACGTGCTTTATATTCAGTAAAATTGCTCTTGAACACATAGAAGGCACAGATGAACTGTTATCAAAATGCTGGAGATCAGGAAATACTACTCCCACAAGCCTTCCAAAAGAACCTAGAGAATACATGTTAGATAACCAAAGTGAACCTAAAAACTAATAGCAAGCAATAACATGATCTACTTGTTGGTAAAAGTTAAACAAGAAATACAGTAAGAGTATAAATAATGGCTAAATGTATGCAAAGTTGTTAATAATAAAATGTTTTTTTAAATAGGGGATAGAAGTTTATGGAAAGCACTAGGAAAAAATTTTTAACTGTTTTTAGTAATCACTTTGGTCACTGTGAAAGTACAAGTACTGTTATTCTGAGACTGCTGTAAGATGTAGAAAGAAGTGAATATATTATGTGACATTCTAATTCTATCATCTGCTTTATGTCCTTGAGAACTACAACTCTTAGTACAGAAGAAGAGACACAACTAAAAACCTTGTTCTGATTTGAATTGTTAGTATTGATATAAATTCATGAAGCATCTGTACCTTTTAAAACAAACAAAAAATATAATATTCTATCACAAGTGGTAGAATAGCTCATCGTACCAGTATTCCCACAGATAACTACATATTCTGGGAAAAAAAATACAAAAAACAACTACCTGGAGGAGCCTAAGATGGCACAGTCAGTTAAGCACCTGACTCTCTGTTTTAGCTTAAGTTGTGATCTCAGGGTTGTGAGATCAAGACCTTTGTTGGCCTTGGTGCTCAGCACAGTCAGCCTGAGACTCTCTCTCCCTCTCCCTATGCTTCTTCCCCAAACCCCCGCCCTGTAGTCATACATGCCCTGCCTCCCAGTCTCTAAAATAAATAAATCTTAGAGGTATCTGGGTGGCTCAGTCAGTTAAGCATCTGCCTTTGCCTCAGATCGTGGTCGCAGGTTCCTGGGATTGAACCCAGCATGGGACTCCCTGCTCAGCGGGGAACCTGCTTCTCCCTCTCTCCTGCTCATGCTCTCTCACATGAACTCTCTCTCAAATAAATAAAATCTTAAAATAAATAAATCTTAAAAAAAAAAAACAACCCAACTATCTGAGGGCACTTGAGAGCAACCAAAAGTAGGCAGAATTTGGACAGAAGACAACATTTGGAAGAATGGACTAGAACTGGGTGCTTTTACAGCTTTTACCTGAAGAAAGGTCTCTAAGAGCAGCTTCAACTTGGATCAAAATATGCCGTCTTACTGGCTTGAAAAACCAGAGTTTGGAGCTAGTGTACTAGCCAGAAAGTGAGAGGGCATATGCTGGAATAAATAAACACAAAAACATAGGAAACTACAGAATTTCTCTCCAGGAAAACAGAGCTTCTCAAAATATAAGACTTACAGATAGGAGGAATCGAAAATCTCTCAGAAAAATGACCCAGTCATGGCATACGATGCAAAACCTATTGATCAATAAGCCCTACCTACTCACACAAAGCTTCCAACAAGTGTTCAGTGCCTAATGCATGTATATGAACAAAACCCAGTATCACCACATATCTGAAGAAATGCAAACAAAAAAATTAAAAGTCTGTAAGAGATAAAGACAACGAAGGGAGCACAAATAAACTTCACACAAAAATAAAACCGTTAACTAAATATCCTAATAATAGCAAACAATAAAAACGAAACATTTAGAGAACCACCACCAAAAGGGGGGAGGAGGAACCTCCTG